GTGACCCCCGCCTCTGTCCCTGACACGAGTAAGCAGAGAGCTTTGACATTTACTGCTCTTTGTCAATAGGTCATGATGAAAGCACAGACACACAAAGGCTGCTTTGCATGGACATTTATTGATCTGACTGTCTTGTGGTTAGCTGTACAGATAGATGATAGGCGCAGGAGGAGGAAAAGGCTGAGCTGTTTTCCAGGAAGTACAACAAAGGCTGTTTTTGTGAGGCGCTCTTGTGTGCCCATCCATCTACTGCTGTCTGTTCAACTCGGTAAAGACGGCAGAGTAATTCACTTAGCTTGCACTGTGCATGGCTATTATCTCTGGATGGTGTGTCTGTCTGCGGGTGTTCTGCTGTGATATCATTACACCACTCACTTAAGTATATATCACAACTGATTGATATTGCTGTCTGGCAATAATTGCTAAATTGCTGACCTTTTTTGGCTGTTTGGCTGTGCAGTCTTTACTCTGTAGCACAAATGCTCTCTCAATTAATCACATTTTATTCAGTTTAGCATTGAAGTTTAAGCTATTACAGCTGTACAGATGCTCTTTTTACATCCGGTATACATTAGATCCAACAGTCCAGCGTTCTGCTAATACCACGTCCTGGGACTCATGTGGATGTTACATTTGCAAGAGATTTAGACGTCAGATTATTCCAATCAAAAGAATTCACTACCACCTTTCTGGCGAGATAAACTACAAGATGTCTCCATCTTGTAGTTGGAGACTGGTTCTGCCGGAGATTTCTTCCTGTTAAAAGGGAGTTTTTCTTTCCCACTGTCACCAAAGTGCTCGCTCATAAGGGGTCATATGATTGTTTCTCTGTATGTATTACTGTAGGGTCTACCTTACAATATAAAGCACCTTGAGGCAACTGTTGTTGTGATTTGGCGCTGTATAAATAAAATTGAATTGAATTGAATCCAGAGGCCCTTTGTCCATACCTCGACGATTCAAAACTGTTTTCACAGCATTCGAGGAACCTAAACGATATTTGGCATCTGGTTTTAATGTTGTGTTGTATCACCCAAAGAAGTATTTAATGCTACAGTCAAACACTTCTGCTTTTCTTTCACTAGCAAAATGAGATGAAATTCATCTCCTTTTTATTAATTTCTTTCATAACATCACTGCAGTCAGCTCTCCTTTCATGATAGGTGTCCTTTTTTGATTTTCATTTTGTCCTTTGTAAAAATGTAATCAAAAGTATTTTTCTTAAAGGACGATGACTAAAAATTAAAAAAAAATATTAAAGAGAAATTTACAAAAGCTCAGTAAAACAGGAATGAAATGTATAATGTCTTGAAAAACAGGTGAAACAAAGGCAAAATTAAGCAGAGAAGCTTAGAGCGAGAGGGCTTGAACAGTATAGAGAGCATAGAAGATATTAAGGGCTGTGTAAAATAACAACATAAATAAAAGAAATTTGAGCTGCTAATGATAGAACAGCCACATAAATGATTACACTTTGCTACCCTTCCTAGATGGCAGCAAAAATCCGAGTTCGTTAGGATAATTTTTGCCATTGCAGTATACACTCAGTACTGCAATGGTTTCGTGTCTGTACACTAGTTTCATGTCTGCACGGGGCTCTCTCCACGTACTCTAACTTCCCCCCCAGAGTCCAAAGACGCAACTCTTTTATTTATTAAAAGGGTTTATTAATATTTTTTTATTATTAAGAGTTTATTAATTCTAATTAATTGGCCTTAGGTATGAATCGTCTCTTCCTCTGTGATTTTTAGATCTCAGAAGTTGTCGGCTGTCACTCAGGGAAATTTTCAGTGTTTTGTTTTATAAAGAGGCTTCACAATAACTGTGAAGCATTTCAAGCCTGACTGATAAAAACTGTAACTCAAATTAAAGCACCATGTGAAATGTGTG